AGAGCACCCCAGGGTCTCCTTGAAAGCGCCCCCTACAGAAATCAGTGATTGTGCAGTTCTGTGTGTAAACTCCAAGGATTTTGCCTTCCAGCTGCCCTTTGTGAAGGGGGCTTTCCTGGTGGCTCAGATGGTAAAGGTATCTTGCAATGCAAGATAGAACCTGGGTTCTATCAGTGAGGTTGGGAAGATCCCCTGTGGAAGGGAATGGCCACTCACTCCAGTATCCTTGCCTAGAGAATTCCAAGGACAGAGGAGCCTGGCAGGCTACAGTTCATGGGGTCGCAAAGAGTCGAACACAACTGAGGGACTAACATACAATTTTTGCCCTTTGCTATCAAGCACCATGCACCTCCCCTGCATTCTGGGAAGAGTGGTGTGCCTCTGTTTTGCCCCAGGTACCTGCCTGCCTCTGGTGTTGTGGGTCTCTCTGGCCATCTGATTATGACCCCTCCTGCCCTGACTGCTGGGCCCACACTGCCACCCAGTGGCAATGCCTCTCCTAGTTTCACGGGCCACATCTCCATGGATTCTTCCTTCTAGAAAAAACCCTCCCCAGCACCCTAGAGATTCTGGTTGCAGGATCTCTCTGCCCTTCCCCACCCAGAACAGTCACAATGTGGGTCATGAAAGCACACAGCCGTGCATTCCTCAAGTTGGGTTCGTTTGCTCTCTAAAGTTTCATATGTGCAGCCTCTCATCTCCCCAAAGAACAGTCCACATGATGTGTGTGTGTGTGTGTGTGTGTGTGTGTATGTGTTGGGGCAGAGGGGCTTCACCTGCCCACCCCCCCCCGCCGCCACAGGCACTCACTGGTCCCTGTAGTCATAGTGAGTTATTCGAAAACCTCTCAGTCTCCATCCTGAGACATACAGTTTTCACGGAGGGCTGTGTGGCACAGTTTGCTACCTTGTACTGACTTGCTGGGCTTCCCTGGTGGCTTAGAGGTAAAAAAAAATCTGCCTGCCAATGCAGGAGATGTGGGTTCAATCCCTGAGTCGGGAAGATCCTCTGGAGAAGGAAATGACAACCCACTCCACTATTCTTGCCTGGGAAATCCCATGGACAGAGGAGCCTGGCGGGCTACAGTTTATGGAGTCGCAGAGAGTCGGACACAACTTAGCGACTAGAACAACAACAGCCTGCTCTGCCCCAGTCATCCCAAATACTGAATCCTCCCATCAACGTGCAGGTGGCAGATGCTTGCTGGAGTGTGAGCAGCGAGGGGAAACTATGCATTCTGGCTCCTCCGAGTCAATTGCAAAACATGTCTGTGATGAACCCATGTGGAGACCATGTGTGCTGAGTACCCATTGGCTTTGGCATGGACACTGTGAAAGGAGAGCCATTGCCATTGCCTACTTTTTACATTTCTGTATGGTTCAAATTTATTATAACAAGCAAGTTTGCTTATGCAATTAAAATTTAATAAAAAGAGATTAGTTTAAAAATACGAAAGTGTTAGAACAATTGTAATCTAACTCTAGTTTTTAGAAAATAAGAGAGCTTAGAGACCACAGCATGCAGTGATGCCCTTGGCTACAACAGGCAGCCAGCCTCCGCCCTCAGCTCTCTGTTGTTGTTCAGTTGCTAAGTCGTATCCATCTCTTTGTGATCCCATGGACTGCAGCACCCAAGGCTTCTCTGTCCTTCCTATTTCCCTGAGTTTGCTCAGATTCATGTCCATTGAGTTGGTGATACTATCTAACCAATCGTCTTGTGCCACCCTCTTCTTTTGCCTTCAATCTTTCCCAGCATCAGGGTCTTTACCCATGAGTTGGCTCTTTCCACCATGTGGCCAAAGTGTTGGAATTTCAGCATCAGCCCCTCCAATGAATATTCAGGGTTGGTTTCCTTTACGATTGACTGGTTTTATCTCCTTGTTGTCCAAGGGACTCTCAGAGTTTTCTCTAGCACTACAATTCAAAGGCATCAATTCTTCAGCACCCAGCCTTCTTTATGGTCCAACTCTCACATCCATACATGACTACTGGAAAAAACATAGGTCTGACTATACGGATCTTTTTCAGCAAAGTGGTGTCTCTGCTTTTTAATATGCTGTCTAGGTTTGTCATAGCTTTCCTTCCAAGGAGCAAGCATCTTTTAATTTCATGGCTGCTATCCCCATCCACAGTGATTTTTGGAGCCCAAGAAAATAAAACCTACTACTTTCTATTTTCTCCTCATCTATTTGCCATGAAGTGATGGGACCAGATGCCATGATCTTAGTTTTTTGAATATTGAGCTTTAAGTCAGATTTTTCACTCTCTTCTTCCACCCTCATCAAGAGGCTCTTTAGTTCCTCTTCACTTTCTGCCATTAGAGTGGAATCATCTACATGTCTGAGGTGGTTGATATTCCTCTCAGTACTCTTGATTCCAACTTGTGATTCATCCAGCTCAACATTTCGCATTATGTACTCTACATAGAAGTTAAATAAGCAGGGTGACAATATACAGTCTTGTTGCACTCCTTTCTCAGTTTTGAACCAGTCTGTTCCATTGTTCCATGTAAGGTTTTAACTCTTGCTTCTTGATCCATGTACAGGATTCTCAGGAGACAGGTAAGGTGGTCTGGTATTCCCATCTCTTTATGAATTTTCCAGTTTGTTGTGATCTACAGTCAAAGGCTTTCTTGTCAATGAAGCAGAAGTATGTGTTTTTCTGGAATCCCCTTGCTTCCTCTATGATCTGATGAATTTTGGCAGTTTGATGTCTGGTTCCTCTGCCTTTTCTAAACCCAGGTTGTACATCTGGAAGTTCTCAGTTCACATACTGCTGAAGCCTAGCATGAAGGATTTTGAGCATAACCTTTCTAGCATGTGAAATGAGTGCAATTGTCCAGTAGTTTGAACATTCTTTGGCATTGCCTTTCTTTGGGATTGGAATGAAAACTGACTTTTTTCAGTCCTATAGTCACTGCTGAGTTTTCCAAATTTGCTGACATATTGAGTGCAGCACTTTAAACAGCATCATATTTTAAAATTTGAAATAGCTCAACTGGAATTCCATCACTTCCACTAGCCTTGTTTGTAGTAATGATTAAAAAGCTGGCTTTAAACTCAACATTCAAAAAACTAAGATCATGACATCGGGTCCGGTCGCTTAATGACAAATAGATGGGGGGAAAATAGAAACAGTGGCAGATTTTATTTTCTTGGGCTCCAAAATCGCTGCAGACAGTGACTGCAGCCATGAAATTAAAAGATGCAGGCTCAAAGATACCTTTGGATACTTGGGTATACGGAGGAGTTCCTTACTGGTGGGACAGGTCCTGCTAGTGGCCTGTAGACGGCAGCAGAGGCCCACACAGAGATCCCTGCCCCAATTCAATCCAATCTTCCCCGTTCCAAGTGAGCCGCCTCCTGGGTTGTGGGGTGAGAGGGAAGTGCAGAGCAGTGCAGACTGGTCCAAGGAGACAGGCACACATCCTGCAGCTCGAGTCAAGTTGTTTCCTCTCACGGGTCCTCGGTTTCCTTATTTGTGAAATAAGAGTTAACAGTCTGTGATGGGAAAACGAGTTTAAAATATGTAAGGTAATCTAAGATAGGGGCTCAGACCGTGAAGAATCCACCTGCATTGCCAGAGACCGGGGTTTGATCCCTGGGCTGAGAAGATCCTCTGGAGGAGGGCAGGGCAACACACCCCAGTATTCTTGCCTGGAGAATCCCCATGGATAGAGGAGCCTGGAGGGCTGCAGTCCATGCGGTCTCAAAGAGTCGGATATGACTGGGCGACTAAGCACACAATCTAAGATGGGCTCAGAGTGGAGTGGAAAACCACTTAACTAATAAAGAATATCTGGCACTAGGGTGGAAAGAGGGGACTTTTTAAACATGACACCAAACGCTCAAGCCATAAGGTGACAAGTTGATGGATATGACAAAACGGGAATTTAGGATTGGAGAAGGAAATGGCAACCCACTCCAGTATTCTTGCCTGGAGAATCCCATGGAGGTAGGAGCCTGGTAGGCTACAGTCCATGGGGTCGCAAAGAGTCGGACACGACCGAGCGACTTCACTAGTCTTAGGATGCTGTGTTCCAAGGGAATATGAACAACAGGTGCACATAAGGAGAGAGATGCCAGTGCTAGAAAGATCCCAAGAGCAACCAGGAACCAGAGAGACCCGAATCTCAACAAAATTCCATTTCATTAGCTCTGTTGACAAAAAGTAAGACTTTAGATAGACTGGCAGTGGGCCACCACTAAGTTGCAAACCTTACAAATTGTACTGGAGGCCCTTTCGAGAGCTTGCAGAGAAAACACCCGACTCCAGGGGCTACCTAGGACTCCAAGAGAAGATTTCCTGTGCTGCCACTTCCTTGGTGGCGCGTACAATTGGCTGCTCGCACAGCCCACTCGGTAGCCAGCGGCTCTAGCGCTGGGTTTCCCCGGCGGCTGGCGGAGCCTCGGAGGTTTCCGCCCCCTCGAGAAGCCACGCCCCCTATTTCTGCCTCGTTCAAGGCGGGTCCAGCCCCGCCCCGTCCTGCCTGGGCCAGCCTGGCCCTTTAAGGCTGACCCAGCCCGGCTTGTAGTCGGGGACGCGCGGGGGAGGGGAGCGGTCACGTGGGCAGGCGGCGGCGCGACTCTCGGCTCTGGGCGCTCAGGGCCGCGGCCTCTGGCGACCCCTGTCCCTGCCCCTTACGGGCAACCACAGCCCCGTGAGCTGCCGTCAGGTCCGCCCTCGTCAGGTACGCCCTCACAGGGCCCCCTCCACCTCCCAATCCCGGGACCCCGCGGCGCTTTCCCCTCTTGACTGGTGGCCGGGGCAGGACTCGCCTGGTGCCCGGCTTGCGTGACCACCGCCCCCTGTCGCGGGTCCGTCCTCTCCAAAGCTCGTTCCTCATTCCCAGCCCTGTCCCCGGCCCGAAGCCCAGTCCGGCTTAGGGCGTCCACGGCTGGAGTGTACTGAAGGAGTCTGAGCGGAACTCACTCTTCGTCTCTTTCCCAGGTGGCCCCGGACGCGCCAGGCTGGGGCCGCCTCTGAGCGCCCTGCGGGGCCATGGACGTGGAGACAGCGGAGGAGCAGGGCGGCCCTGCGCCCCCGTCAAGTGCACCCTGCGGACCTTGTTCCGCCGGCTCTCCCGCCCTCGGGGGGCGGCGGGAGCCCAAGAAGTACGCAGTGACCGATGACTACCAGTTGTCCAAGCAGGTGCTGGGCTTGGGTGTGAACGGCAAGGTGCTGGAGTGCTTCCACCGGCGCACTGGGCAGAAGTGTGCCCTGAAGGTCAGTGACCCCGCGCGCCCGCATGGGCGGGGGCCCCAACAGCAGAGACCTGTGGATGCGGGCTATGCCTAGGGCCTCTGTTAAGCTTCTTAGGCTAAGCGTTGCGGTTTCCTCCTCTTACTCCTGTGTAAGGTTGGGCTCCTGGTCCTTCCTGCTTCACAGGTGGGGAAACTGAGGCTTGGCTTAGCTAAGCTCAGAATGTTCCAGGGAGCAAGGGGTGTAGTCAGCTGTGGGTAGAGCCTGCTGTACCCGGAAGCAAGGAGGGAGTGACTCCTGACTCTGGGTTTCTGGCTGGGCCTGTGAGTTTGGGCCCATGGGGGACCCGCATTCAGCTTGGCTGCTCCTTCTATGAGAAACTCTTCTGACTGGAATGGGTTTCACTTACTTTCTGCCTGAGGCTGAGTCCCCACAAAAACTTGGAGTGGGGCTCATTCTCCTGAGGCCCCTGCCTGCCTAGGCTGGAGTGGTGACAGTCTCCCAGGGCTGACTGGTGGGCAAGCCTGACACCCATTGCCCCTGTGGGCAGGAAGCTACTCATGAGCTCCAGATGAGTCAACCAGACCCATGTTGCAAGGGGCAGGCCCTGCCTCTGACCTGACCCACCCTGTTTCCTGGGCAGAGGGCGGGCCAGCCATCTAGCCACGTCACACCACAAACTCTGTGGGCCTGGTTAAGACCTCACTGATACAGCTGGAGGCCCGGGAGTCTTGAGGGTGGCTGACCGAGCTATGTAGTTCTGGCTTAGGTCATGGAGTTTTGGGCCCAGGACCGTGCCCCATACTTCAAATCCCTTGACTCTGTCCTCTCTGGGAACTTCACTTAGTTGCAGCCTCTGCCAGTGACCCCTTGGATAGGTAAGAGCGTGGCAAGGAGAGTGGCTCCTGGAGGTTTGAATATAGCTGAGGATCTTCTCATTTTACAGACGTTGCAATTATGAGCCCGAGCCGAGAGTCCTGCAGTTGTAGCTCTAATCTTTGGCCTGCATTTGCCAGCTCCGTGACCTTGGACTAGATCTTGGACTCTCAAAAATCAGGTTCCTCTGCTCAAGGGTTGTTAAGATAAGGAGTTGATGTGAGCTTGGAATGGAATCATGCATGTAGAGTCAGTGGCAAGGGGCCTGGCACAGGCCTGGAGAGGCCACAGGACTTGCTTAGGGCACAGAGTCTGCAAGTATCTGAGCAGAAACCTGGGCCCAGCTCCCTGTGTCTCTCCCAGTGGCACCAGAAGTGGTAGAGGGGGTCATCTCCCCAGGGTGGTCTTGGAAGGGCTCATGAGGATGGGTCTGGAAGATCTCAGGGCTGGGCTGGTGAGGCTGGGTCTCAGGCACAACTTTGCTTACGAACCCAGCAGTGGAGTGGGGTTGGGAGGCCCTTCTGGAGCCCCTGGCGGGGGATTCTCCGAGTACTTCAGGAAAAGGGTGGCTCTCCCGAGGGGAGATGGAGCTAAGGAAGTGAGCAGTGACAATTTCCATTCTCTCCTTCAGCACCATCTGGGCCCTTTCACTCCTGCTTGGGTCAGGGTGCAGCCTGGGTGGGCAAGGGGCCATCTGAGGCCTCTTCTTAATACCAAGGTTTTGGCCCTGTGAGCCAGGCTGAGCTCTGACCACCCCATGTGCTACTCCAGAGGCTGTGAATGAGACAGAGATGGAGTGGGAGGCTGGAGTTTGTGGGCCCAGGCAGCACTGGCTTAAGCAGAACCAGCTCTAAGCCTTTTCCTGCAGGTGCTGTGTCTGACTTGGGGGAACTTCTGACTGCAACAACTTTCAGAGCACCTGCTCTTGAATCTAGCACCTCAGTGGTCCCTGTTGTGGACTGGAAAGGGGGCAGACCCAGAACAGATTCCCCTATTCCCCTTTAGGCTTTTTGGGTGAGCATGGCTAGAGATGTTGGCTTGGGGCCTTCAGAATTTGGTTCTAGGTTGGCCTGCAAGGGGGACATGGATTCGATGAGGCCCCCACCCCAGCACCTTCCGGTTCTTGCCAACCCCCACCCCACTGCAGTGACCAAGTCCCCACCCAACTAGGCAGGTCCTTTCCTGCTTCCAAGATGGGACGACCACAACCTCTAGCACGTCATACCTGTACTACAAGTGATGGCTCTAGAGAGGTGGTGGCACCTTTCTGTTTATAGCCTCTGCCCCTGCACAGGAGGGCCAGGACCAGGAGACCTCAGCACATGACCTGTCTTGGGCCCCGGGAGCTCAGTCAGTCCCTGAGTGGGTCTCAGCCCTCTCTCTGCTTCTTGCCCCTGGTCAGCCTAAGCAGAGGCCGTGGGCTCTGGCCTTTCTGCTTCCCTGGACCTACATCCCTTCCCAGGCAGACCTCTCCTTGTCTTGTAACCTGGCTTTGTCCAGGCCATCTCTGCCATTTATGGGCCAGGCCTAGTGTCCTGCCCTCTCTTCGTGCCTGTCTTCCTGGCCCTGTTGCTCAAAGTGATAGATAGAGCTTGGCATGAAGCCTGGAACATAGCAGGCACTCATAAAACAGGAAGAGCTGTGGTCAGTGTCCCTGTAGCTGTAGCTATTCTTTGGGGGCCCCAGAGAAACAGGCTCCTCCTTCCTGGGGAGCTGGGCCTCTTCTCCTTTCTCTGAGCCCCTGACCCACTTGGCCTGATCCATCTTGGCCTCCCTCACACTCAGCGACTCTCTCCCGAGGCAGCTTCTACCCCCAATGCTGTCATTCCAGTCTCCACACCACCCTTAGCACCTCTGTAGTCCCTTCGGCAGGAACTGGAGGTCTGCCTGCCAAGTATCTGGGGCAGGGGACTGCCTCCTACTGACCTCTTGTTTGTGATCCCTTCCAGGCCTAACTAGTTCATTGATACCCGGTATCTTCACTCTTAAGTGGACACAGCCACCCCCCCACATGGAGACCCAGTCCCTCAAGCCTTATCCATGTAAGAAAGTCAGGACCTGGAGTTAGTGGTCAGAAGTCACATGACTTGATCGGGATGGGAAATTATAGCAGAGACCAGAATCGTCTCCCCTCCTGACTTTCTGCCAAGTACACATGTGGTCCCTGGCCGCCTGGCAGGTAGAAGTGATAGTGGCAGTTAGATAAATGGAAACAAAGGCTTGTGGGAGGGAGGTTCTAGGGGGAGGGAACATATGTATACTTACGGCTGATTCATGTTGACCTGTGGCAGAAACCAACACAATATTGTAAAGCAGTTATCCTTCAATTAAAAGTAAATCACAGAAAACAAAAAACAAAGACTTGAGTAGCTTGAAGGGGTCTGCAGTGGGAGTCTTCTTTCCCAGCCCTTCTCTCAGGGCTCTGGGTCCACTGAAAAATGTTAGGCTCCCAGTGCCCTCTTCGTCCTGTCTTTGTCAGAGCGGAGTTTTGGAGTGTTGAATCCACATGCCAGGAGGTCCCTGCATTGCTCCATGGGTGGGGCTGGCCTGTTGGAGCTGGTGCTGTGGAGCTGGATTTGAGTCTGGGTGGGGCTGCCTGGCAGACCAGGTACTTTCTCATTTAGCAGCTGCCACCCCTTCACCTACCACCTCCAGACCGGTCAGATCACCCTCTGCAGGGCCTCTTGTTTACTGAGTTGACACATCAGGAAGCACGTGGAGGGCTGGCCGCCTCCTACAGTGGAGTCCCCACTAGTGGTTTTACCGCATCTTTCCAGGCTGCCCCTCTCCTGAAAGGAAAGAATCTGAGTAACTCAAGTACTACCAGACTCAAGTAGCCTTCTGAACTGCCAGAAGTGGGCAGTTTGTTTTTTAAAATGAGGATCTTAGGGAGGGTGTCAAACCCTATGAAATGCAAATAGCAGGGTTTGGGGACAGTTTTAAAATTATTTCTTTATTTTTTGCTATGCTGGGTCTTCATGGCTACACGAGCTTTTTCTCTAGTTGCGACGGGTGGAGGCTACTCTCTAGTGGTGCTCAGGTTTCTCATTGCGATGGTTTCTCTTGTTGCAGAGCACAGACTCTAGGGCTCACAGGCTTCAGTAGTTATGGCTTCAATGGTTGTGGTGCACAGGCTTAGCTGCCCTGTGGCATGTGGGATCTTCCCAAATCAGGGATCGAAACCATGTACCCTGCATTGGCAGGCAGATTCTCTTCCACTCAGCCACCAGGAAAGTCCCAGAGGGGGATTGTTTTGAGATGTTTCCGGCCCTGCCCAGCTGACCTCGCTCACAGCTTCAGCAGCTGTGCTCCTAGCCCGTTGTCAGGATCCCCTCTGCTGGGACTTTCAGAATCATTTTCCCACCCCAGCCAGGAACTGATGCCATCTCTCCAGGCTTCAGGCCTTGGTATTGTGGGGTCTGATGCTCCCAGGAATGGCCGACAGTTGTCCGGAGCTAGGACAACTGTTCTGTCTGCTAGGCCCTGTCCCTGGGCATATACATGTTATCTTACCTAACTCTTTTCATTCCCATTTTATGGATGAAGACATTGATGCTCAGAGAGGTGATCAGTTTGCCCAAGATGGCTGGCTGATGTGTGGCAGGACTGGGACATGTGTCTAGGCAGTTTTATCCCAGAGTCTTAGCACCTAATTCACCTCATGCCTCTTGCAAGTCTGTGGGGACATAAGAAGGTCTCTTAGACTAGGCTCCTGGAAGAATGTTAACGATGTCATCCATGAACTGCACTGGGCCCCAGGTGATCCTGCTGCTGTTTGTCTGTATCTGTCCAGCTCTCCTCACTGCAGGATGCTATGCCTGGGAGTAGACATGTGGTGGTCCCTGCAAAAGGACCGTGCCAGCTGTGGGACTGCCTCAGAAACGGTTTATGGTTCATCTCAAGCCTTGTGAGTCTCAGACAAGCCCAGGCCAGCAAAAGTCCAGGGTGCCACAGGCAGGAAGTTAGGTTGGTGAGTGGGCGAGAGGAAACTGTCAGGACTGGGCCAGCCAGGGGAGGTTTCCTGGAAGAGACTGCCAGCTTTCATGCAGGCCTCTGGTCCGAGAAGCATGTGGATGACAGAGGAGGACACAGGGTGTGTGTGTGTGTGTGTGTGTGTGTGTGTGTGTGTGTGTGTGTGTGTGTGACAA